TGGTGAACTCTGTGTTTATTTTAAGGGTACCTGAATGAACCCACACAAGGACACCACAGTTTGGTACTCGTTGCTTCTGTTAGACAAAGTGTTGATTGTTAGAATAAAACATTTTATTAACAACAGAAAGTTTTCACAATTTAACTCATTTATCTCCGACTTTAGTAAACCTATTTACTGGGCCCTTTTTTTGGGACTAAATCTTTAAATGACAAAAACGTCACTTAATGGGTCATTAAATCAAAACAAAGGAACCTATTTTGATAGTTCTTTATCTTATGGATGAACTCCCGATAAAAGAAACCTGTTTTGGGCAAAATTGGCGAAAAGTAATTTGAAGTCGAAGTCATCGTAAAGGAAAACCCTGAGCCACTGTAAGCGACTCACCACCACAAGAGTTCTGACGGCGAGCTGCTGGGAGCAGCTTGCCAGAGATAAAGAGTTAATGAAAGCAATGGTTTGCATCCATTGGGGGATTGCTGTTGGGTACATACAATACAAATTCTGTACTTTTGATACCTTAGCAAACCTGCCATCCTGTAGCTGGGAGATTTTCTTCTGTCTTGAAGCTGTGCATTGATAGGTTACATACAATCTTCAGGGATGTAAATAAATCAATACGGGGATCAAGCTCAGAGTAGGCTGCCGTTCTGTGTTTCCCTTGAAGAACAGAGAAGGAAAATTAAAATTATCGGATCAGAATTACAACTATCACTTGAATGTTTGTTTTCCTGTGTGGAGATTCAATGATAGCATAGTCGGTATAAAGACAATGATGTTGATAAATGTGGTTCGAATCCCTATAATAGTTTTATTCAATTTCAGTTGTTTGGCTAGTTTGAATTGTTCTCCGAATACTTATCTCAGTCCTTGTAGGAGAATGTTGTTAAATTTGAGGGCCCTGTCTTTTAGATAAACTTTCAGTATCAGAGGAGACTCTTTGCCTTGATTACAAATGAAGTGAGAGAAAATACTTTATTTTTCTGAAGATCTCTGTCTTTTTGTTAAATTGCTATATCTTACATTGTTTGCTAGGTGGCTGTGATGAGCAGGGCTGAAGCAATTTGTTATCTAAATGATTTACAATTTATGTCCATGGAGTGTTAAACTTGTACAATCATCTTGAGAGAGGAAGAACTACAATGTTGATGACTGTAATTTGAATAACTTACAGGGACATTTTTCATGACTTCCATCTACCCGTCCCAATCCTTTAGGACATTATTAATGTTACATCGAGAGACCCTGGGTTTTTCAGATAAACACAGAGACATAAAAGAGGCATTGTGCAGTGGTAGTAATTATAGATGTTAAACACCCACATCAACACATTTTTTATTATTTAGAAGGGGGGGGAGGGGGAGGGTGCTTCGATCCTGCCTGTCAGGGTCATCCCAGGCTGAGAGGGATCCAGTGTCCCAGCAGACAGACAGCGATAGCCTACTCAGTAAAAAAATTTCCCAACGCAGGAATCAAACCCATGTCTTCTGTGTATGACAAAGAAGCCCATACTGCTACCCCACAGACACAAGCTATAAAAAGAATTATAATTATAATAATAATGATAAAAGTAATAATGATAATGATAATAATGATGATAGTAATAATAATAATAAGAAGAAGAAGAAGAAAAAGAATTGCATTTATAAAGCACATATCCATGCACTATGCGCTTTATAACTATGACAGTAAAGAGCTATAGCTCCTCACCCTACCATACCGTTTATTTTCCTGTAGGCGACATTGAAGATGCTGATGCTGACTGTGGTGATGTCGGTGCTGCGCTCGTTCTTCATCATCATGGGCATGTTCCTTCTTATGCTCTTTTACGCCTATGCCGGGGTCATCCTTTTTGGCAGTGTCAAGTATGGCTACAATCTGGACAGGTATGTAAAACTCACGAAGAGGTTATATATTATGTGATACTAGAGCTCGCAGCAGTGACATTACAGGTGTCAGACATGGGGGCCTTCTTACCCTCATCAGCATGGCTGGCTTGACCCCAT